CACAGCACCTTTCTATTTTTAGGAAAAAGAAAAATCGGTGTCTGTCCAATCTGTGATTGCTCTTAATTTTATTGTAGAATGTGTGTGTATTTCTTCGAGACTGGTCATGAATCTGGATCTATATACAGGCCAGCCTTCTTTTTGAAATGTTGACCAGTCCATGTCCAATTTAAAGATAAGACATCCTAAAGAAAATGTGAGAAAAACAGATGCCCTGAAACAAGCCTACAGTTCAATAACATCTGGACAGAAAATGTCACCTGACCAAAACTCCTGCTGTTATACTAAGCTGCATTTTAATACTAATTTGTTGAGTCCTCATGGCTACGACTTCATTCCGGCGGAGCTGTTGCCAACCAACGCGGATTGGCTAAAATGCGAGCAGAGAATGTGCGGGAAATCCCTGCTCGCGTAATGGTTCTCCCCGGATGACAGGCTCCTATTTAAAGAGCTGTCAAACGGCAGTAGTTGTTGTTCTCCTTGCCATTCACGATGTGATGTTCCATTATTGTTAATAAAGTTGGTGTTTAACAGCAGCCGAGCCTCTGAAAATTCTTGCCGTGCCAATAAACAAAACATAATTGAATTCCAATAATTCTTTTAAAATTTGCAGATATACATAAATCAGCATGTGGAATTTGCCAACTGGTCTCCTCTTCAGTGATATGTACACATTATCCTAATGTCTACATATGCTGTTAGTATATGATATATACATACAGAGAGAGAGAGAGAGAGAGAGAGGGAGAGAGAGAGAGATACACGGACACATACACATACACACATAAACTTTATTTTGCCTTTTATTGGACTAGGTTACTTCTGGCTCAATGTCTATCAACTGTCAGAGAATGTTCAAAAAAAGAAGCCCTTTCCAATTCTATTCCCCAGTGTCAAATGTATGTAATGAGGTGTCTTTGTATGACAATATCCAGAGTCCTTCTGTCTCTGTGCCTGGAGGTAATAGTTCTCTATGCTACTCTGTGAAGATGGGCTTAGAAATTACATTCCACTCTGGGCACTCCTCTAGCACAGAGAAGTCGACAAATTAGAAGGAATTCAGGGAAGAGCAACAGAAATGATTAAGAGGTTGGAGAGATTGATTGATGAGGAGAGATTACAGGAGCTAAATATGTATAGCTTGGCTAAACGGATGACACGATAACAGCCTACAAGTATTTGAAAGGTGTAAACACCAAGGAGAGAAAGGTGAAAGGAAGAGTTATTTCTTACGGTACTCAATAGGATAGCTCAAAACATAAGATAAACAGTAAGATTTTAGCTGTTGTAAGTGAAAGGAAGTAAAGCTATAGCTACCCGTCCCTCTCCAGTTGCATGGATTGTTGAAATTGTAGAAGTGACTTCCCTGGATGTGTGTCTGGAGGGACATACGGAATGGTGAAATCAGTGCTAGTCTGGGATGAAAAATGAACTTGATGGTGCTTTCTTGGCCAAGGCTCAGTATGCAATCGGGGAAGGTTTTGAAGCTGGCTTATCTCTATCAGCACAGAATTGTTTTCCCATACGGTGTTTTTTTTTTAAAAAAATTGTAGAGTTCTTCTAGGAAATCAAGTCCAGAGGAACTGATGAAAGAAAACGTAGGAAGGATTGAGAAGTCTGTAATATTTCCATATTGTTAGCTATGCAAGGATTGTCTTGCATCTGTATATAAATAAATGTTCCTGAAAAATCAAGCATGCATGAAACAGATGTACTTCAGTTACTATTTGAAAGTGCATATTGCACAAAGATTTCTCTTTCTCCTTCTAGTAAAAACCACAGCTGTCTTTTTCTCAGTTGATGGTTAGAAACTAGTCAAATGGATAGCACTGCCTCATTTAATTTAAGGGTAATCTATTTTTACCCTATGGTCAATCTCATAGGCCCACTTGGGCAAGGTCATCTATTCATTTGTAGGTCCCTTCTTAGTTACTGTACATATCTTATATTTGGTAAAAATAGGTAATGAATAAGGCTGGGTATAATATAGGATATAAATATATTAGCACTTAAATTATGTGTATATTGTGCATTCTTCAAAAACCCCATAGCACTTGCCTCCCCAGTTTAGCTTAATTATGTTCCCAACAGATATGGGTCCATCACAAAGGACAAGATACATGGGCTTAGCCGTTACATTTGCTCCCTATAATCAGGGTAATAGTCTATACGACACATTTAAATTAGTTTAAAACTTGTACTACTTTCTGTGCTATTTCTGTCCAACCCTGGCAACAAAATAATATTCCCACATCAGCATGTTCAGGAATTTATAGTTTTTGGTAATAAGCTATTTTATGATCCACACTATCATTGTACAAAAACATGGAAAGCAGACAGATATTGCAGGTATTGCTATTATTTTAAAATTCTCATATATGATAACAGACTTCCAACTTATCGGCTATTTACTGTAGTAGTTTCAAAGGAAAATTTGAACAATTCTGAAAATCCCATATGAGTGAAATGGGTTTAATACTGAGAACAATCTGGCAACTGAAGAATGTAAGTTTCTCCTTCATTATCATAAGAAAAAAGTGACATTATAGCACTCAAAATAGCACATGAAAAAATGGTGATATGACAGTTGTAGAAAGCTGACTGAATCATGTCTTGGAACAGTGGGTAAGAGCCAAGTATTGCTGAATTACATCTCCCATTATTTTTAACTATAGACCACACTGGTTAGCTGTTGGGAATTATAGTTAGGCAGCATCTGGACTGTCAGATTACCGACTGGACTTGGAATTAAAAGTTTAAAAGGATGTTCCCCTTTGGTACTGATGCCTCATTCATGAAACATGAATACTCACCTATTCATTCAGAAAGTCAAGTCTTTTGGCTATTCAACTGAGGTCTGGATTAACCATTCCCAAGGGAAGGGTGGCACCACAATATGTCCCCCACCTCCAGAGTTGGTTATCATAACCTTAACTCTTTCACTGCCATGCTCAACTTTATTCAGTTTGTTCTAATTGTACTTATCGACCATGGCAAACTCAGTCTGTATTGTTAAGTGGCGTGGTTGAGTGGCTCAAGTTTAAAAGTTTTGTTTGAAGGTGTCCTTAGATATCACATTCCATCTCTTGGAATGAAGAGGTTTGCTTCTGTCAAGGGGTACAGTTGGCTCTGCTTAAGGCATCAGTTGGCCATAATCCAGCCCTGGTTCAGCTGTAAATTTAGAGAAACAGAGAAATTTCATGATGGGACCCCAGGGAGTGGGGAGGGGACGGGGGGAGGAATGAGAATTCCAGAATGATTATTCTTAAGTGCTTCACCGTGTCAAGATATTTGAAAGTAAGGCTTGGGGGACAATAAACTGTGGACTGATATAGAAGCCATGACCAGAAAGACAAGACAAAGGTTAGAGAAGAGAAAGGCTAGAACTGGAAAACAAGAGAACGGAAGGGAATGGTAACTGTGATATCTTTTATTTTATTTTCCTTTTAGGGTGGGGTGCGATATGTAATTTGTCATTCACTACCCTAAATATATATCATAGTATGTTTTTACAATTTGGTGATTTCTTACAGACTGCTTTACAATTTGCATACCCAATCCAATTACAGTCGTTTAGTGACTGCTTACTTTGGCAACCATTTGCAATTACGACAGTGATGAAAAAGTAACTTTATGACCAGTGCTTGTATTTATGATCTTTGTAAGTCTGTAAAGCGAAGGAAAGCTGAAATAGGATCATAACCACAATCACAGTTTTAATTAGCAATCCTACTTCACTTAACAACCAAATTGCTGGTCCCAAGTGTGGTCACTAAATGAAAACCACATGTAATGTCTGCAAAACTCACCATTCCAAAGGAATTCTGAATTGCAGACTATACTGAAATTCCCATGTTTGTTGGTTTAATTTATATTCAGCCTGATGAAGATTTTTGAACAAACTCAAAGTTTGCTTTCTGTGCAGCAATCTTTAATTAATTAAAAAAATATATGAAACTGATGTACTGTGGATTTTGGAATGAATAAAATAAAATTAGGCCCCAAGGAGACCTGTTTATATATTTCTATTTATTTGTTTTTATTTGGGCCTCACAGTTGCTTAACCTGTGGTTTATAAAAATACTAAGGGCACATGGAGTTCCAGGATTGCTTGAGTGCTGCCATAAAAAGTGACAACATAGCTAGTAGGATATGCTTGTATAAATTCATGCTCAAATTAAACATTTGATAGTTTCACAATCACTTAATGATAGAGTCAGAAGGCAGTAAGATGCAAGGAGAATGGATCAGACAGGATTCAGCTGCTGAATTTAAGTTTTGTGATAATAACTGGAGTTTTTATTTGAATTTAACAGTTATACCCACCCCTTTTGGGAGACAAAGATTCTACAAATGAAAAGGCCATATTCTGGAAAGGCAGGCAGAAATGCTGGTGCATCCCTTAATCTCAGTACCTGTCAGAATATGTCAGGTACATCCTTCCATTTCTTATGCTACAAATTAGCTATCTATGACATACAGTTCCTCTGTCATACCCTTCACTGCATTCATGTTGAAATTTGAGTCTCTGGTAGATCATTCCAGCCTGCTTAAGTGATTGGTGTTGCGTGTTGGCTTAGAGAGATGTATAGTGACAGGTTTTGTGCTTTCAATGTCCGGTTGCCATCTAATTCAGTTGAATTATAGTGAGACTTTTGTGTGAAAATCTAAGCAAAGAAACTTGCCCCAAAGAAGACGGAAAGAATGCCACTGTAGCTATTTCTATACATATTTATAGGGTAGACTGACGACTAGGTAGGTTTCACTGTTTTCTGCCTCTTCCTCAACAGATGCCTCTTTCTATAGTTGTAAGTTTGATGGATCTTCTCTGATACTATTTCAGACCTAGGTCAATAATGGCTCCGAAAAAAACAGTATAATCCTTTCAATATTTGTTGCTATTTCTTTATTTTTGTTTTTCACATCATAGGAAAATACTGAAGATAATGTTTGGATGACTTTTGTATTAACACTAGACAACCCATGTCTTGTCATTACAGAGATATTCCCATACCTAAACAAAGAAACAGAATGACCAAGGGCAAAAAGCAGTGGCAGCGGCTGTAACTTCTTACTTCCTATCAGTTTCCCCACTGAGTTTCCTTGTAGGAATCTTGTAAGGAGCAGTAGAAATTTCCCTTCCCTTCTCACCCCATCCCACCAGACATCACCCCATCCCAGATGGGGGAGGGAGTGGCGGATTGCAAGACTGGCTGGGAAATTGTCCCAGAATGTTGAAAATGAAGATTACGTGACCATAGCAACATCACAGCAGCAGCAAGTAGCATTGAAGCAGTCACAACTTTCCCAAATTTTATTCCCTTGGGAGTTCTGCATCTGGACTTTGGATACATTCTGTAAGTTAGCCCATTTGAGATACCTTGGTTCAAAAATTGTTCCCTTAGGATGCACTGTTTTGCCCAGTTACAGGACATGGCAGGAGTGCCATGCTTCTCAGATTTTTTTAAAAATTTCTAAATCAAGCTAGCCTGTTATTTCCTGCTGGTTTCCTTCTAAGTATTAACCAGGTCCAACCCAATTTATCTATCTTGAGGAGAATTCTTTGTTAGATATTGGGTACAACGGGAGAGACTTTTGAACGGCTATTGCTTTTAATGTTTTTTTTTTAATATTTATTTTCATTTATTTCAGTCTTCAAATGTGTTAAAATAAAAATTGTAAATGTTCAAGAAAAAAAAGAAAATAATGTTCTTTCTACACAGAAATACTTTATGTAACACTTAATACTTTTGTTTTCATGTCTATGAAAATATTACCTATGGTAGGCAATATGCTTGTTCCAGGCCGTGTTAAACCACAAAGTCAGACTACAGACTACAGTTGTTATCAATCTGTAACCACCTTGCAGATAGTCTGCGCATGTGAGAATTTTTAAACTTGTAGAAAGCAGCAATTAAAAGAGTGCTTAAAAATCAGTTTGAGCTGGTTTAGGGGAAGTAAATTAAGCAAAATATGCATGCTCAAAAATGTGTATAGTATGTGATCAAGCTTGTGTGCACGTGTAATGATGTAATTAAGGTGGAAACGCCAAATTATATAAATAGAGGCCTGTTAGTTGAATCTTTAATGCTTCTTGCTATGAGAGGCTGTTGACCTTGGTGTCAAGTTTAAAAAAAAGCCTGCAGCCAATTTTCTCTGGTTATGTCTTTGAGTCTGGAAGAAATTCCATAACATCATTCTGAGATCAGCCAATGGCAGGTCAGTGCCACCACTTGTATTGTCCAGATCTATTGTTCTATTTTTCTGTTGTGGCAAAAACAATAGAAGGAACCGCACAATCTATTCTGGTGACCCACAAGCCACTGGGTGAAATTGATCAGATTACCAGATTGGCTTTCTCGGTATTGGCCTTTACCAATGAAATGTTAAATATCGCATGGCTGCTAATGCAGAAAACTTTGATATAAAGGAATTTGGACATTTCCAGAGAAAGAAAAAATTGTGGAGGAGTTAATGCTGAGTTTTGTTAGCATACAGTAAGTGATGTGACTTTGCTCAATGCTTAAAAGTCATCTGAGACTTAGCAAGGGCTGAACAGAGGAGATGATTCTTGCCCTTTAGTTTACAATCAAATAGATGTGATACAAAAATAGGAAGGAAGACAGAAAAAGAAAGTGGAAAACAAGCTTTGAGTCACCTGTCTGATAAGGAGGTGGTTGGTTTCTCAGGTTCACAAAGTTCTTTCCAGGGAGTGAAGATACGATGCTTCCTAGAGGTTCTTCACAATTGGTGTTTCCTTGTACCTCCATCAAAAGGAATTGAACAAATTTGAGTACGTATGCATGTGACAAAAATTTATGCCAGAAAAATATAGGAAAACAGTTGAAATACATCATTGAGTGGTACTGGCTACCACCTTGGCTGGCTTCAAAAAAGGGCTGGACTAATTCACGGAAGTCATGGAGATGAATGGCTGTTAACTTCGGTGGCAGTGTGACTGCCTCTGGAGGCTATCTGTTAGGAGATTGGTAGATTTCCTTGGGCAGTTGGTTGACCCTTGTGAAAACCCTTGTGCCTGGACTAGATAGGCAAGGAGTCTGATCCAGCTGGGCACTGCTTATGTTCTTATGATCTATCCCCATCCATCCATCCATCCATCCATCCATCCATCCATCCATCCATCCGATTCCAAAAGATTATGAATAGTTTTACAAAATTAAAACAGTAGCAAATATAAAATAATCCTAGCAATAAAAACAGCACCCACTGTATAGATGACATTGCTTAATTGAAAGGACTCAAAGGAAGGCAACACTGTCAGAACACACAGAGTAGGTGGGCATTTTAGGAAATAGGCAGTCCCTTGTAACATTTCTTACTTGAAACAAGATGATTGTGCATCAGAATCTTGCCTATTCCCAATCTTCATTCATTTAGGCCTAAATACAATATACAATTCTTCTTTTTCCTGGAACCTAGCTTTCCTTTTCCTAAAGGACACTTTTAATATGTTTGTTAGTTAATGCAAATTCTCATGTTAAAGGAAATACTTGGCACCATGTTGATAAATTTAAAAGCTAAAGGGAAAATTGCACTTTTACTGATCTTTCTAAACTTAGTTTATAATTTGGATAGAGGGAAAAGTATGTAACTTAATGAGCTTTATATCTTTAGCATAATAAAAATACTAAAACTGAAAGCTATTGGAAGTGAACTTTGGGAATCAAGATATTGTTTTTTAAATAAAGTTTAGATACAGGAGAAACAGAGATGACCGAAAAGGTTTCTTTGTTTAAAAGAAATACATCAAATTTGAGGCCTGACTGGGATGAAGAGGACCAATACAGAAACACACATGAAAGATGATGAAGAAAAAAGCATGCGAGAAAAGCATGCAGCTATACATCAGCGAGTGTAAGACTTACCTGTGAATTGGGATTCTCCAGATTTACAAGAGGGAGTTGGGAGTTGGGTACATGTATCCTCTTGAAGTGAATGAAAACTGAGGACATAGTTGGCCAGCTTTGTAAGTTGCTAAACATGAGAGAATAGGAGAAGACTGACAAAGAAATGGAACGTAAAGATGTAAATAGTCAACAGATGGGGAAAGAGTTTGTCATTCATCTCACAAATGACAGATCAGTCTGGGCTGCAAACAGCTGAGGAAGAAGAGATTCAAAATGTTGGAAGAGACTCTGCCTTAATGAACTCACTAATAAAATAAGGCTGGAGGTTCCAATCATACTTTCCAAGTTTTTGTTCCATATGCGATTTTTTTCTTCCTTGATTGTGCCTTGGAATGTAAGGTCTGTTATTATGTGGGGCTTAGAAAAAATTAGACAATCCAATATATTTGTGCATATGATTATAAGAATATATGCTTATTTTTCTTCTCCTACCTATAAGCTACACAATGAGTCATATGAGTATTCTTGCTGTTTCTTTGCCATGTCCATTCTCTTTTAATGTTCTTCCCCAGCTCCGGATTCTCGAGGATATTGACACACACCAACGGTCCTTATCAAATTTATTAAGTAGGAAGAATAAGTCCGGCAAAGGTTGGCAACCAGCCCAGAAAACAAGATACGATAAGACTTTTCCAAAAATCTCTGATGATAATTACAAGTTGTTTCCAGCAAGAAACTTACTAACGGCATGTGACTTAAATAGGCTAAGGGAGTGGCCAGTTATCCTCAAGCCTTACTCACGAGGAGACCTCCTCCTCCTGAGTAGCCACTCCTGCCTTTTGGCAGCCCTGCGTGCTCGAGCATTGAGAAGAGGCTCCTCCACTTCGCTCTCTCCACTTGAAGGAGCCTCTGGAGGTTCTGAAGGCCTTTGCTGAGTCTCTGCCTCTGGGACCACATCCTCTTCAGCCTCCTCGCTGTCCGACATGAGTGCCAGCTGTGCAGACTGCTGGCATGACACCACACCAGCCTCCTCATCGTCGGGATCAGCCACGATCTGCGCAGGCCGCTGGCAGGCCACAACACTTAGCTTTTCAGATGACAGGCATCCTTTACTGAATATTGTAAAATGGATTCTTCACATCTTTGTTGTAGCATTCTGTTTTGAATGTATGTACTTTCACGGGTTTTGGAAAGCTGCAACTGCAAACATCAAAAGCAAAATGAGGAAAAAAAGGTTATTAAAAAGAATGTTAGGGCTCTGGGTGAAAGGATTACAGTTAAGCTTACTCAGAATAAACACAGTTATGATTTCGGCTGTAACCCCCATCTATTTATCCTACAAATGCCTAATCTCTAATCTAGTTGGTTTCGCAAGTGGTTCCACAATCCAATAATTTGATGTGTATACATTCATCAGTTTCAAAATTTGAGATTCAGGAGGTATTACTCTAGAACAGGGGTGTCAAACGTGATTTCATTGAGGGCTACATCAGGGTTGTGTTGAACCTCGGGGGCCAAGGTGGGCGTGGCTGGGGTGCGTGTGGCCAGCTTGATGTCACTCATGTTGGGTGTGGTAGCCTGAACGCTCTGCCAGCGAAAATGGGCTCCTGAGCTCCATTTTTGGCTGTGACAGCCTCCTGCAACCCTCTGCCAGCGAAAATATAGCTTGGGAGGGCCGCCCTCCCGAGTTCTGTTTCCACAGGCAGAGGGTTGCAGGAAGCCATTGCAGCCAAAAACGGAGCTCGGGAGCCTGTTTTTGCTGGCAGAGGCACTGTGGGTTGGTCATTCGCTGTTTCCAGGGTGGCCCTGTGGGCCAAATCTAAGCACCCCATGGGCCGCATCCAGCCCCCGGGCCTTGAATTTGACACCCTTGCTCTAGAACCATCATGGGCATTTATCTTATCACTTCCACAGCTTTCTATTATATTTGCAGACAGGGGAGAAGAACATGGAGGACTGTTCACTGGGTAATGATCTTTCAGGGTCATTCAGAATCAGGTAATATATAAATTGAATAAATTTATTGTTATTTAATTGTTGTTCTTATCAGTCTCATTTTATTTGGAATCTGGAAAGCCAACAGATAACTACTTGGTGGCCTATCAGAACTATAATGGCTTGAAGCAATTTCTGTAGTACTCCAATTCCAATTCTCCCGGTAAAACTATATCATGTGGAGGCTGAAAGAAAACCAAGCATGATTGTATTGGGAAAAGCAGTCACTCCCAAATGTCCCCTTCTTGTGACTGATGAAACAAGTGTTTGGTGGGATGGCAGAAATACAATTTAATGGAGAAGACAAAATATGGAGAGAATCATCATAACAAATATTTTCAATTTAAAGCACAAGCTTTTCCCCCAATGGTGTAGATTTTAGCTGGCAGACATTAATTGTTTAAATGTTTACATCTCTGCAACTGAGGTCTATTGGGAATCTTATCTTCTATTCCTTTTCTTTTTACCCATTACTGAATTTTCTGCAGTAAGAA